ATTATACTGGTGAGAAGGGGGTACAGTTATTCATGGATCACCATGTTGAGGTGGGGGAGGTTCAGGAGGAGGATGATTCATATAAGGTGGCATCTGGGCAATAATATGCCCAGGGGGAGGGGTTTTTGGTGGCAGAGCAGGGGTCATTGGTGGAGGTGAAGCTTGGCTATAAACCAGGTGAGGAGTACCTGGAGCCTGGGGAGGATATGGCATTGGATGGCTTATTGGTGATGGAGGAGGTGGGGGCGGTACATAGTGTTGCTGTGGAGGCGTAATATGATGAAGGTGTGATACCACTGGTTGACCCCGATACTCAGGATGATGGGGAGCAGGTGCTGGGGCAGGAGGTCATGGTTCTTTAGCACCTGAATTTGAGTCATCCTGAATAAGGACAATTATTAAATTGCTGTGTTTTCTTGTTGAAATACGAAAGGTCTCCTGACTGATCAAAGGAGGTGGAGGTGGAGCCATGAACAATTCTGCTGGAGGAGCATGAATATCCTCAATGTGGCTGATTATAGTGTTCGTGTGGCACGTGTTGCAAAGGAGGTGGTGGCATCATGAGGTGACGGCATCATGATTGGCAGAATACGGTTCATGTGGTGCTTGTCTGGCGGCATTATAAACCGATCCAGGATTTCAGCTGGTGGGGCAATAGGAGGATGAACCTTCTCAAGTGAAGCACGGGTAGCAGGTTTTCCAGCTCTCATATGGCGGTGGTTGATATGAGCCTGTAAATCTCTCTGAGACAAATACATTCTCTTGCACCCTTGCACAATGCTACCCATGAAGAGAGAACCGCGTGTACATTGCTCAGTTCACTGCATGGGATCACTGCAGCCTGGAAACATCTTACCTCTTTCTTTCATGTAAAATAGCACAGTCATAGCAAGAAAACATGCTTGCATGGAATCATTCGCCCATAGATTTTAATAGGCAATCCACATTTGTCACAGAAATGAACTGGTGTATCATCCTTTTCACCTAAGATGTTTATCTGAAAGTCCCAAAAAAGGTGTCTAGGAAATTTTTGCTGATTTCCAAATACTTCTCCCTCTTTACAGTTCTTCATTATAATTAAATCCTTCTTCATCACCAAGTGGAGCCTTTACAGGCATTCTGTTTATATTCCTTGGAGTTCGAGGTGAAGCTTTGGCTTTGTTCCTTTGTTTGGAGATGAGCTTTATTAGGAATTCAGGAACATCGAGACCACACCACTGATCCAGAACTATATTAGTGCCTTGTAACGCATTGTCAGTGTCATCCATGATTCCCACTTACTCAGTTCTCATACCAGTTATCCCCTTGTAGTTTCACTTAGTCACTTAACCTGATCCCTGTTCTTAAAATTTTGATTATCACTTTTCTCCTATTCTCACTTTTCCACCTGAGTTCATGGCTTTAAGAACCTACTGGAAACCCCTTTTTCCTCAGTAAATGTCTAGAACAGGCTTCCTTGGGTGATCTTTTAAAAGCATTTTTTCCCTATTAAGAATGTTTTTATTACAAAAAATAGATTTTAACCAGTGGAATCAAAGATATGTATTTTCTAAAGTTGCTTTGATGAACGTGGTATCATACTGAGGCAGATAACCCCATAAAAAGACCCGCAGGACTCCCAGGAAAGGCCACAACTCTCCTGCCAGGACCATCCAGTTCCCTGGCCCAGAGGCTCTATCTCACTTTTTGCATCTGAAACAGCTTACTTACCCCTGAAATTCTATTGGTTCCCTGAGCTCACTCCTGATTGGTTATTTCCTTCACTCCTGATTGGTTCATTTCCCTAACTTCTGATTAGTCCATTTGTAGTACTTCATTTGCATTGAGCTCATTCCTGATTGGTTATTTCTCTCCCTCCTTATCTCCTGATTGGTCCATTTCTACAAAGCTTGTTCCTAATTAGTCAACTTTTGTTATACCTCGTTTGCAAATGATGTTCCAAAGTGTGAACTGGCAGCCTACAAAAGCGGGTGTAAAGCTACAGCTGGTGTTTAGAGCTTGGAGTGTTAACTCTTCTGGACCTGCTGGTGTAATAAAGCTTCTGAGTTCTCCAGCTCTTGGGTTGGTCTCTCACCAGGATCCAGGTTGCTGTCACAGCTAAGCTGTAACACATTTTCCTGCAGCAATACTATATAGATCTTGCTGCTTGCTTTTCTCGTTTTTTTTTTGAAATTCACATGTTTCAAGAAACATGAACAGACAAGGAAGCCATTAGAAATCAGTCTGTGCCATATCAGCAGAGATTTAGAGGCCTCTATGCTGTTTTTTCTTCTTAATGCTTAAACAAAATAGTGGATAATTTGATACTATAAGTTTATAATTATTCATTCGGTTGTTCATTCAACAAATATGGTGCAGAGGGAATCTATACAGGAGCAAAGGAGCATACAAATAGCAAGCAGTTTAGTGTGTGTGTGCCTTAAGTGTGTGGTATGTATGTGAGGCTTTAGGAAGTAAAGACTGGAAGGCAGATTGGATCAGACTATACGGTGCCATAAATCCCATGTGAAAGAGTTTCTACTACATATAGCAAAACATGGGGCACCACTGAATGTTGCATTAGTTGAAACCCATATCACTTGGGCAAAACGGATTATTTTTTAAACTTAAATCCTTCTACTGGTTATAAGAATGTTGGGGTTTTAATTTTTAATATTTATAAAGTAGTTATTTGCTAAACTCTGTTAGATACTTCAATTCCATCATTTTAGCTACACCACTCATTGATTGAACTCTCTAATGTTGCCTGCCTGCTTGGATTCTTGCTTTTCCCATTTAACAGTATATCCTGTCTATCTGTAACCCAATTGATACAGATCTAATTCATTTTAATAACTTTATTATTTTATTATCTGTATGTACCATAATTTATTCAGCTGTGCTCCTACTGATGGATATTAGTATTTTCTTTTTTGAAGTTTGTATCACCAGAAACAAAGCTTTGATAAAATACTTTGTAATGTATGTTTACATAATGTTTTTAATATTCAAAGTGGGATTTCTGGGTCAAATTTTTAAGATACTGCCATCTTGCTTTCCAAAAGCATTATACCCAGTCACACTCCCAACTCTATTTATAGGGAAGTGTCTGTTTTCCAACATCTGAATTTTTTTTCTCGTTTTTCAGTTTTTTTCAAGGATGAACGAAAAGTTTCTCTTTTCCACTATTTCAGTTCATGTTGTATTGGTTTATTGAATACTCCAGACTAGGGTGAAATAGTCATCCTTTCTAAACTTCCTGGCAGAGAGAACAGCTTGTGTGAAGGAACATGATGAGTATGGGGAACTGTTAAGTGGTTCAGGATGGCTGGAGTGAGGGGGAATGTGGCTGGAAAGGTGGGCGAGGGCCAGACCATGCTGGACCTTGTAAATGAGAGTTCTGTCTTTAGTCCAAGAGCTGGAAAGCTGCTAAAGCTTTACGCAGGGGAATGATGTCCTGCTTATTTACACACTTTTTTTCCTCACAAGTTTCACGTAAATAAAAAATTAGTTTTGAGAAAACAAATCCCAAACAATATTTACATGTTTGGTATTCTGGTCATAGTATAAAGGGCGCGCTTTGCAAATGTCATCGTTTTTGGCTTTTGGGTCATTGCTCTCACTTTCCACTTTTGTCTTCGTTTTTCTCGGCCTCACGCCAACCGCCAGTCGAAGTGGGGACGCGTCCTGACGCTGCGGCGCACTTTGCAGTCGTCAGCGTTTCACGTGAACCTGACGCTGCGGAACTGCTGCGCGAAGCGGGGCGGGGTTGGAGTTATGTGGCGTGTGATTGTGATTGGCTGTTTAATAACCGTATGTTAATTAATGTGATAATTTGAAGTGTCTTCTGAAACCTTAAGAATATTCAAACGCTTTGTTGAGCTTCGGTAATGGAAAAGTTCTTTATAAAACACATGCCAGTTTACATTGCGAAAGGATAATGCTGTAAGAAATACTCACCATCACTAAAATATGTGTGGGCTCCGTACACCAAGGACAAAGCAGACAGTATGTGGTTAAGACTATACTTTCAGGGATCATTTCTATAGTTCGTTACTAGAGAAGTTTCTCTGAACGTGTAGAGCACCCGAAACCACGAGGAGGAGGCGCAGCGTTCTCTCCTGAGCGTGAAGCTGGCTTTTGGTGTCGCTTGTGTGACTGCCATTTGCCATTGATGATCGTTCTTCTCTTCCTTCGGGGAGAGTAAGAGGGAGAGAACGCAATCTGAGTGGTTTCGGTTTTTAAGCTGTTGAAAACTGAAGTGTGTGTTTTTCTTAGGGTTTTGCGTTTATGTGTAGTTTTTGTTGCGAAGGTTCGTTTTTGTGTTCATCATTACTTAGTGTAGTCTCGTGTTATTTTCTTTGGTGTGTTTTGTAAGTTTATTTACCTAGTTCAGGATACTGTGTACGTGGGTAATATGATATGTTTTATTTGGGGGGAGGTTATTTAGGAAGGGGCTTTGTTGTATCGGTTTTTATGGTTGACTAGTATGTTCTGTCAACATAAGATATACAACGGTTTTCTTATTCTGTTATTTGTTGTTGGGCGGTTAGGTCGTTTCCATGTGTTTGTTGTTTATTGTGTAGTAGTACTGTTGTGAACGTTGGGGAGCATGTATCTTATTGAATTACTTTTCTCACAGTGGGATTGCTGAATCTTCGGTAAAATCTATTCTTAGTTTTTTAAAGGAGTTTTGAGTTTTCTATAGTGGCTGTACCAAATTACATTCTCATCAACAGCGTTAAGAGGGTTCCCTTTTCTCCACACCTTCTCCAGAATTCTTTGTGCCCATTCTGACTGGCCTGGAGGTGATACCTCATTGTAGTGTGGATTTGCAGTTCCCTGATAATTAAGAGATATTGAGCATCTTTTCATGTGTCTATTGGTCACCTTTATGTCTTCATTCGAGAAATTTGTCTGTTTAGGTCTTTTGCCCATTTTTTAGTTGTTGTTGTTACTGAGTTGTATAAGCTGTTTGTATATTCTGAAAATTAAGCCCTTGTCAGTCCCGTGGTTTGCAAATATTTCCTCCTATCCTGTAGGTTGTCTTTTCATTTTGTTTATAGTTTCCTGTGCTGTGCAAAGCTTATGAATTTGATTAGGTCCTATGTGTTTATTTTTGATTTTGTTTTTGTTGCTTTGGTAGACTGACTGACCTAGGGGAACTTTGCTACTATTTATGTCAGAGAATATTTTGCCTGTGTTCTCTTCTAGCAGATTTATGGTGTCTTGTCTTATGTTTAAGTTTATTTTTGTGTATGGCATGAGGGATTGTTCTAACTTCATTGATACACATGCGGCTGTCCAGCTTTACCAGCACCACACGCAAGAGACTGCCTTTCTCCAATGAATGGTCTTTTCTCCTTTGCTGAAGATCAATTGGCCAGGTGTGTGGATTTATCTCTGGGCTCTCTATTCTGTTCCACTGGCCCGTATGTCTGTTTTTGTGCCAGTACCACGCTGTTTTGATTACTGTAGCTCTGTAGTATTGGGGAGTTGATATCTTTTAGTTATTTTTCTTCTGAAGGTATATTTCAGTTGGTGGGCTCTAATGTTGGTGACTTTTGTTCCGAATCATCCTTTTGTATTGTACCTAACACACACTATCATTAATTCCCTTTTTCATGCCTTATGAAGACTGAGAACAATCTTAATCCCTTTTTTTTTCTTAGCATACCAGAGTGTGGTGAAATGTTTCAGTGCAACTTTCTGTAAATTAATTTTGTAGATATGTAAACACTATGGTTGCTTTCTTGTTAATGTATGTATGGCCTTTTCTGTTACTATGACTAATGAAAGCTTTTATTTTTCCTTTTTAAAAAGATAAATTTGCAGTAGTGATAAAGTACTGTATAAAAGAATTCCCTAATATGAATTTCACAAGTTTTATCTCAAGTGATTTCCTTACATTGGTATTGATTCTGGTATTTGCTTTTCAGGAGTTCATGTTGCTGCAGTTAACTCCCTGGGCCAAACACCACTTTTCATTGCTGCATTATTAGGCCTTACAAAAGTAGTTGATATCCTGGTGGATTATGGATCAGATCCAAATCAGTAAGTACAATAACATCGCTGTCTAGAAAATATGTTCTCAGGATGAGTTGGGGCATTTGGAAACTAATTTGACAACGTATTAAAAGTTCCTCTACTAATTTATATCAGTGAAATACTTTGTATACTTATGTTGAAACATTATTTTCACTGCTAATAAAATTTTTTCCAATCAATTTTATTAGACCCTCTGAAATAAGAGAAACTTACTAGTCATTAATTAGTCATTAACAAGTACTGTTTATATAGTTCCACCCCACATTATAATTTATGATTTGCTTAAGCACTTTAACATATCCCACAACCAAGTTCTTTACAAATTAATATACTTGGCATCACTTCGTCAGGATGACTTTTGTAGTTGTGGTTTAAAAGAATCTGAGTAATAGTAGGTCCAAATTTTAATATGGAACAGCAACCCAATGTAATGAATCCACTACAAGAAAACATTTCTTCTCTTTATATAGGGCTTTTGCTTTTCCCAGGGCTTTCCCACACACTAGCTCGCTAGAGCTTTATAACCACCTCTTTGACAGAGAACAGCAGGTATTTTTGCAGTTCCCATTGGACAGAACCAGAAACAAGTTTTGAGCATTTACTTGATTCCAGCTGATTTTCACAGGAATGCTAGAATATGAACAATCGTAAGTCATAAAATAGCTTTTGCATCTTACATAAGGAGACCCTGCTTTTAATGTATTTTTTAAAGAAGTATTGATGTTGGAAGCTTGTTTTTGTTATGACTTTGCTTAGTGGGAAAAAACTTGGAAGCTTGGAAAAGTATAAATTAAAAAACAATCAGTGTGAGAATTCTGTAATTCAGAGATAACACAGTGAACATTTTGCTGTTTTCCTCCTAAAATTTTTCTGGACTCATATAAACTCTGTTTCTACTGTATCAGTATTTAATTTCAAAGCTCAGAAATAAAGGGCTCTCTCACTTGATGTTTGCAGTTAACAGCTATGTGGAGAGGCCATATTGGCCCTGCAGTTCCTCAGCAAAAATGCAGCATTTCCCATTCATCTGCTTTGTGGAAACTTAGAGCTGGGTTCTTTAAAGAACAAATATTCAAATCTTTAATATTCCAGATTAGGGGACTGATGCCCGGGAGGTTTAAATGACTGGCCCGTCGTGGTGCATTTGTATTAATGATAGGACTGAGACCAGGAGCTCAGCACCTGAAAAACTGAGGAGTTCCCTTCTTAGAAGTCCCCCGTGATGCTGGGGGAGGTGGGAAAAGGCGATATCAAGGAGAGGAAGGCAAATCGAATTTTTATTTTGTGACAGGAATGCTTTCATGTACTTAAAAAATATCTTCCATCAAGGTGAAGGGAGATTTCTGGGGGGAGGTTGTATTCCTGAGTTCTCAATGGAAATGCTGTGATGGCCTGGGCTTACTGAGGTCACAGAGTCAGGTGCTTGGAGGACCAAGCAGGGTCACTGGGTACAGGCTCTGTCTAAGGAGCTTCTGTTGCAGTTGGCAGGAAAGGGAGCCAGGGAGGCCAGATCTTCCCAATTTGCAAGAGGTTGAAAATCCCAATTGTTAATGCGAAATCTCTAAAGTATTAAATACTGCCCGTTACTTTAAATTCTTTTTTTGAAACACTGTGTGGACCAAATAAAACATGCCTCTGGGTAGCCAGATTAGTCTGTGGGCCTCCGGTTTTCAACCTTTAGGGTAAATTAATAAAACAATACACATTTTAATACCACTTGGACCTGGATTCCCTTGTAAGGTTTAGTTGGGTATAAAAACCATTATTCCTTTCTTCCTTAGCATTCATGAGAAATGAAAAAGAATGTCTTCCCTCTCCCTACCCAGCTTTCTTACTGTTAATAGAAAGAATGATCAGAAGGCTGTAAAACATTATGCACATTTATTTTTAAAGCATAGAAGATATTACTGTTCCCATAGTTCAGTGTGCTGGACTGCTTTTTAGACCCAGCAGTAGGAGAAAGCGCACAATGAGCTATCCCAGGTGGTCCCAGTTGCCTGGGTACTGGCCAGCTTCATTGGCATCACCTGGGGAACTTGGAAAAAGCACACATTCCTGGGCCCCTTGCCTGCAGATTCTGACCCAGTCTGCTGTGTAATCTGAGCCATCTGTGTTTTTGAAAAATATTCCAGTGGCTTATTAACTAAACTGTGCTACATCCATATGTTGGAATACTATGCAGCTGTTAAAAAGAGTTGAGGTGGTTTGTATGTTCTCATGTGGAAGTTTCTCCAAGGTATATTGTTAAATGAAAAAATTTAAATGCAGAACAGTTAACATGACATACAAGGTATATTGTTAAATGAAAAAATTTAAATGCAGAACAGTTAACATGACATATTCTTATTCCTACCTGTATATGTATAGGGAATTTCTGGAAGGATACAAACACTTGTAACAGTAGTTGCCTCTGGGCAAGGGAATTGGGGTCTGGAGTTGGGAGACTTTATCGTTCTTCTCCTTTTCCTCCTCCTTTTTGATTTTATGTCTTCCTCTCCTTCTCTTTCCTCCTCCCGTTTGTGCTGCTTTTTCCTTTAAAGAAAGCAAGCTTTCCAGGTGATTCTGATGTGCAACCAGGTTAGGAAACCACAGCTGCATAATACGTCTAGCTGTATCCTTTAGGCTGTCCCTTCGTATCTCATTTTATTGGCTTTGGTTAAATTTTTCTGAGTTGTAGATCCTTGACCAGATCGCTGATGCCAAGTTTTATGGGCCTTTAGCATAGAGCTGGGGAGATCCAGGCATTCTCACACGAGAGAGATGGTCTCTGGTTAGGTTGTGCTTCACCAGCCTGATCACAGGACACTACAGACATGAAGAAATTGTTTCAGGGTAGCCAGTGTCAGGGGGAAGTGGGGAAAGAACATTGAATTTCAGACCAGACCCATACCTGGGTGTGAATCTCGGTTTTGCCCTTATGTTTCCTCATCTATAAATTGAGAAATAATACCACCTTGAAGGTGGAGGTAAGGTGGAAAAAGAGGATACATTGGCCCAGACAGGGGCCTCACAAGGTGTTGTTACCACCCTCACCACCAAAAGTGGCCTTTGTGGAAAGGGAGTCCTGTGTTACCCGTGGAAGGGGAGGAGTGTTGCCATGGACACTCATTGTAACCTCCCCCATAGCCGCTGCTTTGATGGGAGCACCCCTGTCCACGCAGCAGCATTTTCAGGCAATCAGTGGATCCTCAGCAAACTGCTGGATGCAGGGGGTGATCTTCGACTCCACGATGAGAATGGTCGAAACCCGCAAACCTGGGCCCTGGCAGCAGACAAGGAACGCAGCACCGCGGTAAGTGTGGGCCCACCGCAGCCACACCTGAGGCAGAGCACTGGGCTGGGGGTCAGGAGCCTACAGCAGAGGCTGGTCCTGGGGGCAGCACACAGCTTGCAGTGGCCTTGTCATTGGCTCTGGACACACAGGCCTGGGCTGGAGCAAGTTAATCAGCTGTAAAACCTTGGGCAAGTCTAGTGAAATTTTCTGGTCATCCAGTCAGTGGGGAGGGAGAACAATTGTAATTTTGTCTGACCCTTTACTAGCACCTACCATGCGTTAGACATTCTGAATTAAATTAGCTAAATATTAACTCGTGCAATCTTTGCAACAACCCTCTCAGGTCGGTACTGTTGTTGCCCCCATTTTACAGATGGGGAAACTGAGGTGCATTGGCATTAAGTACCTTGCCTGTGGCTGCACACTAGCAAGTGTAATGTGTTTTAATGAGGACTAAATAACCTAACAAATGTAAAGAACACAGAGCATGCATAGTGCTGGGCACGTGGAGGGAAGGGGGAGATAGGAGAGGCCCCGCCCCCCTGGTTCTCCTGCTCCTTAGCTCTTGTGCCTTGGACAAGTAATTTTACTCCTCCTGCCTCAGTTTCCTCATCTGTTAAATGGGGAGGGAGTTGGAGGAAATTATTGCCAACTCATCTCCCTGAAAGTGGAATCATCTCATTCCATATCTTTAGGAAGTCACTTGGGCCCTTCCCTTCCCAGAGGTTTCCCTGTTGGAGCCTCCTGGCCCCTCAGACCATTCCAGCCCCATTGAAGGCCAGGGTGGCCATTAGCCGAGCCGGCATTGAGTGTCTCTGCTGTGTGTTGCAGATGGTGGAGTTCATGCAGCGCTGCGCCCTACACATGCAGACCATCATCCAGGGCTTCTCCTATGACCTCCTGAAGAAGATTGACTCCCCACAGCGGCTCATCTGTAGCCTGCCCCGGTTTGGGGGCCTCATGCCGGGGTGAGTGCTGCCTTAAGCAGAGTGGGATGTTCTGCATCACCCCAGCCTTGCTCGTGGGAGCCCTGCAGCTGGGGCCACCTCGGTCCCCTCCGCATCAATCCCTTCCAGCATCTGGCCCACCCAAAGAGGTGAGCTTGGAAGGAGAGGATGTGTCCTCTGAAAACCTTCAGTTGTCCTCGTATTTCCAAGAATGTCTGAGGGAAATGAGTTCTGGGCTCCAGTGGGAACCATCCTACGGTTAACAAGGGAGGAACATTTCGGGTCTGGGGTGCCCAGCAGAAAACCCTTTCTCAGCAGAGCAAGTGGCTAGCTTTTTTGGTCATCTCTGAACCACCGGAGGCATGTTCCCTTATTGATAAGTGCTTAATTTAAGGTTCCTTGGGCTGTTTTAAGCTGGTGTAAGACTTGGTGCTGACTGGGTGGGCAGCTTCCCCTGCCCCCATCACAGCCACAGGAGTGGGGCTCCATCCAGGTTTCTCTCCGCCCTCAGGGAGTTAAGTTTTGAGTTCCCTGTGCTTTATTGACTTAGGGTATATTTGTGGAGAATTCTTTCCATTTTGATTTTCTCTGATGGCATCTTTTCTTGTGATCAGTGTGACTAGACTTGTCACAGTCTTCACAGGCTCCCCCATCCCATTCTGTGCACATGCATCCTGGTTTTCCTTGCATGGCCTGGATGCCACTGGCTTCTCAGGCAAGATGAGTTAGTGATTCCCCGAGGACCAGTGACTCCTAACTGCTCTCCCTGCTGCTGCTCTTGCCCACCTTGGCTCTTTACTCAGCATCCAGAATGACCTTTTAAAAATGGAAATCAAACTATGCCATTCTCTGCTAAAAACCCTCTTAGGGTCTTCCCCATGGCTACTAGGATAAACTCCCAAGTCCCTCATCTGGCCTTGGAGCCTCTTCGTGGTCCAGCTTCTTCCTTCTCTCATACCTCCTCTTCTGCCAGCGTTAGGATCTTGGCAGACCAAGTTCCTTTAGTAGGGCCAAAGCCCAATCCCTGCTGCTGTTTGGTGACCTCAGGTTACCCTTTTCTGGCCCCAATTTTCCCACCTGTAAAATGAGAAAGTTGGACAAGATACGCCTTATGTATGGTTCTTTCCAATTTTGACCATCTGTCATCATTATCTATTGCTGCATAATGAATCATCTCCCCAAACTTGGCAGCTTCAAACAGTAATAAATATTTGTGTCTCATACTGTTTCTGTGGGTCAGAAATCAGGGACTGGCTTAGCTGGGTTGTTCTGGCTCAGGGTTTCTCATGAGGATATAGTCAAGCTGTAGCTTGGGCTGCAGTCATCTGAAGGCTTGACTGGGGCTGGAGGATCCAGTTCCAAGATGGTTCACTTGCATGGCTGACAAATTGGTTTTGGATGTTGGGCCTCCCCATTGGGCTGCTGGAGTGGCCCCACAATATGGCAGCTGGCCTCCTCCAGAGCACATGATCCAAGAGACATCAGGGCAGATGCTCTGCTGGGTCTAGCCTTGGAACTCACAGCACTGTGTCATTTCTGTAATATCCTGCTGGATTAACAGGTCAGCCCTCTCTGACCTGTGAGTGGCTACCCAAGGGCATGAATACCAGGAGGTGGGAGTCATGGGGGCCCTCTCAGAGGCTGGCTGTTACAGCATCTGCAGTTCCACTGTCAAAGAGTAAAGACAAAACCAACCACACATTTTGACAACTTGGTTCAGCATTGTTGCTCTGGTTTGGGTAATTAATCCTTACTTTTCTCCCCCTCTTTTAAATATTTCTAGAAACCCTAATGGCTCTCCTAACCGACTGCTTAAAGCTGGAGTCATTTCTGCCCAAAATATCTACAGCTTTGGCTTTGGAAAGGTAAGACGTTGTCACCAACAGCCAGTGTTTGCAGGACTAACTGGGGGATACCTGGCCCTGGCCCCATGTCCCGTGACTTTGTCCAACTCCTCCTTCCTTTTCCTCTCCAAAGTGTTTCTTTCTTTACTGCTTTCGCAGGATAAGTACCTCTTAGTGTTCCTGTCCTCACTGAAGAATGGTGAGAACCCTAGACAGTTCCCTTGAAGGACTTTGGGCTGGATTTGGGGAGTTTAGAAAATGATCCTTTAATTCCCAGTGAAGGCCCCAGACGTGTTCTGAAGGGATGCAGAAAGCTGACCTCCTGGGTCTTATCTGTGACTGACCTTGTCCTCTTACCAATTTTTGAGCATTGTTGGAATGCCTTTAAGAAACTGGAATTTTACACTGAGAAATCTGAGGGAAAACAGTATTTTGGAGATCCTCGGTTCTGCTCATCAAAGAGACCATTGGGAAATGTTGCTGGGTGGCTGGGTGGCGTTTGCTAACAGCTCAGCCCCCACCCCTGAGTCTGCTGGTTGTGCCGAGGCAGCCTGGGGTGGGGTGGGGTGGGGGAAAGGAATGTTGGCTTTGGCTGCACACAGGCCTGGGGTCTGTGGAGGCCACAAGAGGCCCCTGAGCCCCAGCCTGGTGCTTCAGGCAGGCATCTGGCCTATTTCCATGAGTCTCAGTTTCCTCACTAGCCAAAGGGAAAGAGTATGATAACCTTGCAGGATTTCTTAGATGATTAAAGATAATAAAAAGGAATTATGTCCAGTGTATAGGGGTATTTAGCAAATTGGTAAATAGTAGATATCATTATTTTTAGCTGGCTGATAGAATTCTGGAGGCATTTTACTTTCTTCTCTTTTTTCCCTACCATCTGAAGCTGTGCTCTTATTTTTTGCTTTCAGTTTTATCTTACAGGGGGAACGCAGCTGGCCTACCTAGGATCTCTTCCAATAATTGGAGAAAAAGAAGTGATTCAAGCTGACGATGAGCCCACCTTCTCTTTCTTCAGTGGACCCTACATGGTCATGACCAAGTAAGCGGGAACTGCCCAGTGGGAGGTCTGTTTTAGTGCCACAGGAAGAATGTGTGACTTCCTCGTGTGTGGAGGGTTTCTGCCCAAACACAAGGACACACTGAAAAGCAGGTGTCTAAATCAGGATTCCTCAACCTAGACATGGTTGACATTTTTGTTAGCCCTTGTGGTTGGGGGCGGTCCTGTGCCTTGTAGGATGTTTAGGGGTGTCCCTGGTCTCTACTCCCTGGACGCCGGGAGCAGCTCTCTTTGCCCCCACCCCCTGCATTTGTGGTTGTGACAACCAAAATGTCTACAGAGCTGGCTAAATGGCCCCCCGACCAAATGGCTCTGAAAGTGGACTCATGACAGTGCTTCAACCTCTCTGCTCTCTAGAGAATTAGAGCAGTGTAGCGGTGACTGACCTCTGATACCAAAGGGCGCTGGAGCCCTGCAGGCATCAGCTGGTGCCTCTCACCTGCCAAACGCAGCGGAGGCAGCAGTAACAGGATCCACCTGTGACAACAGTCCCTGGGCTATTCTCAGTCCCCAGAAACCTGCCTCCTGAGGGGTTGCAGGAGTTGTCCTGGCTAGGTTCTCTTGTCCTTCTTGATCCTGGCTGCTCTGGCTCCCTGCTTAGCAGAAACACCCTTCTGAAAAGGCCTGTGCAGCCTCGCAGGGCTCCGGACCCCCTGCGCATACGCCGCTTGCTTTCCTGCCCGTGCCACAGAGGTGTTGCTGTTCCCCTCGCCCTCCATCCGTGCTGTGGCCTTGGCCCACCTCCTCACTGTCCCTCCCCGGGCTCGCCTCCTAACTGGCCTCTCATCCTTCAGACCACCCGCGCCCTACCACTCCCCATGCTGCTGGTACAGTTGTGTTTCTGAAATACAAACCTGATCAAGTCACTCCCTCCCTTAAATCCTTCAGTGGCTTTGTGCCACCTGAACTAAGTTCCTGAGGACCTGGAGGGAGGAGGAGGGAGGACCTAGTAGTGCTGGGGTGGGGGGCTTACAGAATCTGTGTCAACACTGCTTCTCCGATCTCTGGCCGGAGGGCTCCTCACTGAAGAAGTGGCTGCTTACTCCCCCTTGTACCTCTCTCCTGCCCTTGCAGCCTGATGTGGAATGGGAGCAGGGTGACAGTGAAGGAGCTGAGCTTCCCCACCCACCCGCACTGCAGCAGGTTGCGGCTGGCTGACTTGTTAATTGCTGAGCAAGAGCACAGCAGGTGAGGAGGAAACCCCAGGGCACTTCGTGTCCAGGTCTCTTTACAGACCCAAGTTCAGGGCTGTGCAGGGCTGTCCTCAAGGTGTGGAGAATGGCCACCCTCAGCCTCAGCATTTCCTCATTGTTGGTTGATCTGACTTCCAAGGGCTGCCAAGAAAGAAGAATTAAGGAATAACCTGAGGGGTGGGGATGGTGGTGGTGCAGGGGGCTCAATTCTGTCAGCTGACAGACTCCCCATAACACAGGTCTCTGAGGTCCAGCCCTCAGGCCTGGCTGGCTCTCCTGCAGCCCCCGAGGCCCCCACATTTTGGGCCCTGTGCCCATCAGGACAGCATGCGCTGTCCTGTTGTTATAGAGCATGGCTGTGCTTGAGACTCACACGTCTGAGGAACCATGTCTCTGCCTTTGAGGACACGCCCATGGGTCTCAGTACTTTAGGTTTCTTGCTGGGGCAGGAGCTCCATTCTTGGTTTCACACCAGGGCTGCTGAGGCCTCGGAACGGACCCTGGCTCGTCGAGTTCTCTCCAGAGGAGGTCACTCAGCTCCTGTAAGAGGCCAAACCCGTCCTTTTGGGGAAGTCAGCCTAAAGGGACCCAAAGAGGCTGGAAAGGCTCATGGACACAGCATGGATTTTGATGTGAGGCTGAGTGGCATGTGTGACGTTGGGCAAGTTCCTGACATCTCCCTTGGTTTCCTCATCTCTGAAATGAGGATACGTGTCATGATGCCTTTCTTGGAGCTGGTTGTTAGGATCCAGATGCTGTATGTAAAGTGCCTCGTTCGGTAGCTCTTAGTGACTTTGTCATTGATGACTCTAAGTCATCAGGTTCTGACCAGTGAAGGGCCAAGGATTCCACCAACAGAGATACCTTACCCCACCCCACCCCACCCTGCTTTTTTAGAAAACCACTGTGTGCAAATGGTATTTGTTGGGAATGCATTCAAGGGGCCAAGAAGAAAGGAAAGCACCCATTTTTTCATCATGTCCTCCTTCTCTTTGCCTCACCTGAAGCTTCTTTTCTTCTGCAGCAAGTTGCGGCACCCCCACCTGCTGCAGCTGATGGCCGTGTGCCTATCCCAGGACCTGGAGAAGACCCGCCTTGTATACGAGCGCATCACAGTTGGCTCGCTGTTCTCTGTCCTCCATGAACGGGTAAGTGGCTGTTTCCATGGATTCTTCCCTTGCTGCCCTCCCCAGTTCTCCCTCCCTCCCTCTTCCTTCTCCCCCAGGAGTAGAGTTCCCATTTGTGCATGCATGGAAGATAAATCTCTTAATTCTTTACTTTATGGGGGCTACATAACGCATCATTTAAGGCCAATAAGCACACTGGAACTAGTGTGACTTATCATTGTTAGTCCTGCTTCTTTATCAGACATCAGAGGGCTCAGTAGAGCCAGAAAACACATAACCACACTTTGAGCAACCCGTAATCAAACAGCCTGGCCTGATTTCCCTGTATGTTCACTTGTGCCCCACAGGCCCTTTGCCTTAGAGAGCTGTCTGTTTATATGCAAGCCTTTATCAGTCCCCTGTCACTTCTCAGGTTTCCGGGGGGCTTTGTGCGGGTGGCGTCATCTTCCCTGGCCCACAGACTCCCTGGGAAATGCGCTGAGATGTGGCTTCACATCTCAGGTCCTGCAAGATTTGTTTTCCTCTCTCCACGCCTTTGTTCTAAAGACCCTGGGCAGGAGTGAGAAGAAACCTTCCAGGAAGGGCCCTTCCCCGAAATGGCTAGCCGCTCCTCCTGCCTGAGCGCCACCTCCTGGTGTTGTGTCTCCCCTTCCTTTCCTCCGGTGAGGGCATTAACTTATAAAGCCACTTCCCTGGGGAGAGGCATGTTATGACTTTAATCAGCTGGGTGCCTTGGTGTGAGGGAATTTCTGTCCTCTTAGGAGAAACTTTCTAGGTCATCTGACCCATGGGAGGGGCTGAATTGTCCTTGAAGCGTCCAGGTTCTCCCACAGCGCAGGCTTGGCTGGGGATTGGGGCAGGTCAGGGCAGGTGATGGTGGTGGCCCCCGCACTGGAGGCGTGTACCAGACTTTGAGGACTTTCCTTCCTTTTTCTTGGTGTGAAGCAGCTTTGCTGAGGGAAAGGAACCCAGGTTTTGAGCCAGGAGGCCTGGATCAGTGGGACTGTTAGGCCTTCACTTAACCTTACTGAGCTTTAGGTTACCCAGCTATAGGATGGGGACACTAGGTAGCTCGTGAAGATCAGTTGAAAAGGCTTTGGAAATGACAAAGCATTCTGCAGTACCTGGGGGACACCAGGGCCCAGTCCCCTTTGTTCTGGCCGTTTGATTCCCTGTTGGCAGCGGTCCCAGTTCCCGGTGCTGCACATGGAGGTGATTGTGCACCTGCTGCTCCAGATCTCTGACGCCCTGAGATACCTGCATACTCGGGGCTTTATCCACCGTTCCCTCAGCTCCTACGCCATCCACATCATCTCCACAGGGGCAGCGAGGCTGGCCAACCTGGAGTACATGGTGGAAAGGTAGGTGCACCTTGATCATGACTTCCCAACAGGGTCCCCCTGGGGGCGCTTTGCTGTAGAGGGAAAATCTGATCTGGGCAGGACTCTTCATTGGTGGGCCAAACCGTCTGTCAGTGGAGGAAGAGGTTTCCCAAACGCCTTGCCCTGTCTGCCAAGGTTAGAGGGACTTCAGGGAAGTTATTTCTGCTCAGGACTTCTAATAAACATTTAATAAGCATGAGCACCTATTGGCCAGCATGTGTATATTTTCAGAATTTTCAGTGCTTCACACAACGGAGGTGTTACTCACATTGCAGTCTCGTGCGTGTGCGTCGTAGAGGGGCATTCACAGTGTTCTGCATTCCTCCCTTCCATGGCTCTGCCATCCCCCAGGCCTCAGTCTCCCACTGTGTCCTCTGCATTGCTGGTCAGCGAGCAAGAGAAAGCATGGAAGGACACACGATGGGGTTTAGGGACTACCTGAAGTGAATGGCCAGAGTCCAGTCACCTCTTCACTGCAGGGAGGCTGGGAAGTGCACCATAGCTGTGCATCCTGGAAGGAGAGAGAAGATGATGGGTGCTGATGAGCCTTATGGTCCTGATCCAGGTGGGTGAGGCTCAGTGCCGTGAAGGAGCCAGTGGCTAAAACAGTGCCTTCAAAAGTGGATGGGTAGGCTTCATTTCCCACTGGCAGGAGTCAGAGTCCTCCTAAGAGTTGGGGGCTGGCCCCTATCTCCTGCCCCTAGGCCCTGCAGGGCAGAGGGTTTCCTCCGTGCTCCTCGCTGCCATCTGCAGCTCTGAGCCTCAGGCCCAGGGTTGGTTCTGTGCTGCTGCGAGGCCTCAGCCACGGGCAGACCCCTGGCCCAGATCCGCTTAACCTCCGCTTACCCTTGTCCTCACTCACCAGCCGTCACCGAGGCTTTGCTTCTAAGTCTCTCAGCAGGTCTTCGCTTCTGCCTACTCAGAATTTCTTTCTCTCACTACATGGAAAGCTCTGCTAAGGCAGGGATTTCTGTTTTGTCTGACGCCGTATCTCAGATCCCTAGAAGGGGCTTCCACACAGCAGGAGTGCAGCATTTTTTTAAATGAATGAATTGGAAAGACTCTCACTTCCCGGACCTCACATGCCCCTTGTCTCTCCGCCTGGAGAGGAGAACGGGGGCCAGATTGTGTTTGGCCTTGTGGACCTTGGCAAAAAGTTTGAATTTTGTCCCAGGAACACTGGGATGCCGTGAAGGTGTTTTTTTGAGCAGGATGGTATCATGGCTTATTTATAGGTTAAGAAGATCCCCCTTGCTCCTGCTTGTGGAGAAGGGACTGCGATGGCACAAGAGAGAGGCAGGGCAGCAGTTTAGGTCTGACTAGAGCAGTTTTCCACGTGGGAACCAATGGAGGCCGGACAGCTATCACCAGTTGAGCTGCTCAGCCTCGGATGCGATTCATCCTCAATCACAGTGGCTCCCATTGCCTACAAGATCAAGTCCAGGCACCTTGCAAGGTGGGAAGCCTTCCAAGGTGGGGCTCCACCCACAGTGTCAACCTCATCACTTCCCCCTCCCTGCCTGACCGTCTGAAGCCACATTCAGTCCGTACCATTTCCCGGTCCTGCTCCCCACATCTGGAATACCTGGCAGTCCTGTTTATCCTTTTAAACTCACTTCAGACACAGTGTCCCACCGCACCCCATGAAGCCTACACTGAAGCCCTGCTCCTGCATCACTGAGTGGATTTCACTCCTCCACGGTCGAGTGTGTCTGCCCCACCAGACGGTGACCTCCGAGAGGGCAGGGACCATGGCTTGTTCATCTTCATCACCCAGCTCAGGGCCTGCCGCGTAGTAAGTGTCAGGAAGCGCTTGAAATGAATGGATGAGTCTAGCTGCAGGGAAAACTTGAAATGATTCAGAAGAGAATGATTCAGAACACTTTGGCTCTATATTCAGGAGCAGTGGAAGCTAAGGGGTTTGGACATTTTTGCTGTTGACAGCAGGCTTTTCAGGAAGGCTGAGCCCAAGCTGTTTGGCAGTGATGCAGCGCCATCTGTTGTTGACATGGAGGTATAACAGTTCCTTTGACCTGAGCGTTCCAATAGAAATGTGAATCCAGGAGTGAAATGGAGCTTCGGAGATGGCCAGGCCCAACCACCCCTGTCCTGTTATAGATGGGGAAACTGAGGCCCAGAGAGGTGAAGAGATGGTCTGCTGAAGTTACCCAGCTGTGGCTAGAATCGGGGTAGAGCATGTTCCTGGCTGTAGGGGTGGGATGGATTGGAGATTGAGAGTAGAAAGACCAGCTAGGAGGCCACAGGGCAGGGCCTGGTGGTGACCAAGGAACCAAAATAGAAGGGAAGGATGTGGGATTCACTGAAGAGCCGGAGTCCACAGACGGGGCAGGTGAGGGGCTGTGGGGTAACTGGGTAGGAAGGTGTGAGTTCTCTTGGGCTTGTTGACCTTAGAATGGAACTTCGGGCAGAAATGTCCATCAGCGACATTTGACAGCTGATAACGTGAGCCGATTATCCAAGAGTCCAAAATAGCTTTCAATTCCAAATTTATTTTTGGTAACACTCTATTTGGACAGGTCTGGCTGTTGAATGTCATTGTCAAGGGTAGCACCCCATCTCTTGGTGTAAAAATGATGCAATGGTTTGTCCTATTCAGCTCCTTCTTAGTGGAATCTTTAGAGCTGGAATTGACCTTGCAAGCGGTATCACACGACTGTAGCTAAATGTAATTTCAATGATGTCAGAGCTGAAGCCCAGAAAAATAACTGCCCTGGAATGACAGCCAGAAAAGAAGGCCCCTTCCCACACCCTACCAGCTTTAACAGAGAAGGAAGAGGGATGGTAAGAGAGGGAGATGAGTGGAAGTAAGAGAAAGGATATAAATCCTGGTTGAAGTGAAGTGTCCCTTGCCTTAGGCAGCCTGAGAGGCCTGAGAAGATCAGTGAGTGTCCCCCTTGGACAATCGCCCTGGGATGTGAAGAGCCAAGTATGCTAGGTCCTCAGAATATACCTCTGACAATGAAACACTCCATTGCTTTTCCTGTGATACTAATACAATATTTTATTGTGTATCCATTGCTGTTCACATGACACTGGGCCACACCTGCCTATTCAGCAGTGAAACTATAAAGAGTAAAAATACCAGCTTTTATAACTTTAAGGCTTCCTGAACTCGCTGCCGTCTATCAGAAGTTCTGCTGGAAGAACTGTTATTTAGGGAAGTTTGCTCAAAACCTGAGAAGCCCATCCCATCCTCTAAAAGTTTTCCTTTGTCTTCAAAAGAACTTCTGGTTACTTGCTTTTTTAAAACTTAATTCTTTTTTGTTTGTTTGTTTGTTATCTTTTTTGGGGGGGGATTAGGTGTACTTATTTATTTAGTTTTTAGAGGCGGCACTGGGAATTGAACCCAGCACCTTGCACATGCTAGGCATGCACTCTACCACTTGAGTTATACCCTCCCCCACTAAAAACTTAATTCTTAATTATCAACCAGCAGTCGTCAAGTCTTTAGCAAATGGCTGCCATAATGTTCATATTCCTTACTTGCTTAGTGCTTTGTGGCTCATGGAGTCTTTCCACACGCATGATCTCATCTGATGCTCATGATAGCTGTGGGCGGAAGTCAGTGCTGATTTCACCCTGAGGACTCTTGTTGGCCCGGAAGACATTTAGGACACTCTAACTTGGTTCTCAAGGAGCCTGGTTGGGAAGTTGAGTTACTCAAGCAAATCAGTGAACCTTTGACTGCTAAACTGCGAGGGCTCGTTCCCAAGAGTGCAGAGCTCAGGAAAGAATCGATCACAAGTGGTTGGATGAGTCCCAGAAGGCTTTGATAAGGCAGGTGGGGCTTGAGGGGGTTCTTCAAAGTCTTAGGTTCATTTATTCAGAAGTAAGCATTGAGACCCTGGTGTAAGTTTAGAAATACGGTGATATAGGAGACAGGTAAGGTGCCTACCCTGGTGGAGGGGAGACAGGTAATAAACAATAAATCAATAAATAAGAAATTCAGATAACAAGTGCTCTGAAGCCAATAAAATGGGACTACTTTGGATAAGGTGGTTGGGAAAGGCCTCTCTGAGGAGGTGATTTCTGAGCTAATGCTTTACTTACAAGAAGCAGCCAGGCATGCTATGATCTGTGGGCAGAGCATGCCATGCAGAAGCAGCCACCAGTGCAGCGTGCTTGGATGTTGGAGAAACTGAAAGGGGGTCCCTATGCTTTGAGAGGAGTGAGTGAGCGAGCAGGAGAGAGCGGTCAGATGAGGTGGAAGGATGGGCAGGGCCTGCTTGGGTAAGAACAGTGAAAAGTTGCCGGCCTTGGAACAGCAGGCAGTGTGGATTAGCTCAGGGTCCAGCTGGGTTTCCAGAAACTCAAGGAGGTTGTCGGTCTTCAGAGGTAAATGCTTCATACAGGTATTGCGTGGAGATCACAGTGGTCCTTTGAGACATGAGCCCTACTTTGTGTTTCTTCCTGTAGCCAGGACGGAGGTGTACACAGGGACCTGACTCAAGTACCCCTTCCCACCCAGCTGTACAACTGGGCTGCCCCAGAGGTGATCTTACAGAAGGCAGCGACGGTGAAGTCAGACATCTACAGCTTTTCTATGATCATACAGGAGATTTTAACAGGTAGATCGAAGAGTACTTTGATGGTGACCAAAGACCCTATTCTTAGGCTGAGTTTTTCCACCCAAGAGTTGCTTAGTTTTTTGAAAATGTAGGACATAGGAAAAAGAGACTTCTTTAAGGAAGCATCTTTGTGCTTATGGAAGATATAAGATGATCTCCTAGAAATCTTTCTCTTTTAACCTGCTTTTTAAGACTCAGCTTGTCAGTGGTAGTGCATTTAATTCAGGCAAAGTTTTTAAACTGAAGATTGCTGTCAGTGCTTAGGGGGTCTCTGTGAGGTACCCCTTAAGAACTTGTAAATGAGGGGGAAAGAATGGCCTTTGAGAAGTAAACTAAAATCAAACACACCCAGGGTCCAGGGTACGTATAAGCAGTGTCATTTGAAAGAATTAGAAGCCCTTCCAAACATACGGGACTGTAATGTAAAGGAAATGGTCACACATGTGAAGACAAAAGTAATCCTTCGGAGAGGGACACAAATGTATATACACACATTCACTGAGGGGGTGAGAATCAGCCCCCACTTAGCAGTATTTACGGTCTCAGAAGCAAAACCACACCTTCCATGACATGAATGCACTGGGCAAGTCAGCCTGACACCAGGAAACAGTCCTTCGTGGTCCCCAGGTCTGCCTGCAGGGAATCTGTGCCTCCACGAGTCTGTCCCTGTGGCAGGGATTTCCCTGTTAAGTGGGTCAAGTGCTTGTCTTGTGTTACTGGGATTCAGCTCGTTCTTCTACAGAGAAATGAATGCTTAGAGAGGTTGAGTGACTTAACAAAGGTTGGCCAGTTTCATCTGATTTCTTTTTTTAAGTTTTTGGGGGGGAGGCAGTTAGGTTTACTTACTTTATTTATTTTCAGAGGGAGTGCTGGGGACTGAACCCAGGACCTTGTGTATGCTAAGCATGCACTCTACCACTTGAGCTATTCCCTCCCCCTCATCTGATTTCTTTCTGTTTTTTTTTTCATTTAAAATTTTTTTTTGAGGGGGAAGGTGAGTAGGTTTATTTATTTATGTGGTTTTTCAGTGGAGGTACTGGGGATTGAACCCAGGACCTCATGCGTGCTGAGCATGTGCTCTACTACTTGGACTATACTCTCCCCACCATCTGATTTCTTAATGTCTCTCCTTCCTATGACTTTTTCCTCAACAGACAGCATACCCTGGGATGGCTTAGATGGCTCAGTTGTTAAAGAAACCATAGTCTTGGGAAATTATTTAGAAGCGGATGTCAGGCTTCCAAAACCGTACTATGATATTGTTAAGTCAGGCATCCGGGTCAAGCAGAAAGACCGAACTATGAACCTTCAAGATATCCAGTATATTCTGAAGAATGACTTAAAGGTAAGATCTGAAGCTGTTAGGAGTTTATTTCAGCTTACCTGTCTCGGGGGAGTATAGACTTAGAGGCCAAGAAGAAGCTAGAGACCAAGTTGTAAGAAGTTTTAGAAATCCTCATTTTATTACACCCTTTCTGTGTTCCCAAGAAAAGCCTAACTGCTTAGCTTGGTGAGGGCAGCAGGGAATTGTGGAGGGAGGCTGGGGAGGGTCAGTACATACGAGGGGCACCCTTTGGGCACACAGTGCGGTTCAGTGAATGCCAGCTATTGTTCTTGCTTTTTAAATACTGGTAATTATAATGAGCTAGTTAATTAGGACTATACTCAGTCTATCTAACTGGAGTAACAGGGAGTATATTTCAGATCTGTTTCTGAAACACCAGTGACATTCAGATGATTGCAAATTTGTCTTTGACAGTATTTCCCTTGTTACAGGATTTTATTGGAGCCCAGAGGACTCAGCCAGCCGAAAGTCCCAGGGTGCAGAGATATGAGCTCCATCCTGATGTCAATGTCTATCTAGGACTGACTTCAGAACATCCAAAAGAGACCCTTGACTTGCAAGTAAAAGAGCTGAAGGAAACGGGTATGGCCTTAACCCACAGGTTTTGATATGAGTGTGTTCTGAGAGTCATGAGCTGCGACTAATCACCTCCTCCAAATTAAACCCACAATTCATACTGGGAAAGGTGGATGTCTTGGGGAAAAATCAAGAGCCTTAGAATTATTAAGTTAAGCTCTTTGGGCTCTATCTACCCCTTGGTTAGATCCAGAACTATGCAGTAACAACCAATTTATTTCTAGTATGATTTAGGAATTTATCTAATTGCTTCATAAATAAAAATGGTGATTTTAAAAATTATTATCTACTCATTATAGAAAATTTTAAATAATACAAAGAAGAAACTTACTCAGAAATAATTTGTTAACATTTGGTGTTTCCTTCCAAACTTTTTTCCTACAGCATCACTACTTTTGAGTATACTTGGAAACCTTAGAACTCAGAGCTGGAAAGGACCTTGCAGTTGTCTGGCTTAATGCCCTCACATTCCAGATGAGAAAACTAAGGTTCAGAGAGATTGTGGCTTGCTCTGGATTCCAGGCTTGTTACACAGCTGGAACCCAGGCCTTCCAATTCCAGCCCAGTGACTATTCTCTGACTCTTTGGACAGGGATGGAGGCCTCCAGAGTGGCCCTCCAAGCTCTCGTTACTTTGGCTCCTCTGTCCCATCCTCTGCAAGCTGTACACCATCACCTAAGGGTGGTGGGTGGTTAGTCCTGGCCTTATTTTGAAGTATTCTCTCTCATAGTGCAGTGGCTTCTTGGGCAGTGTGTCAGCTCCTTTTATCAAATGCTTACAAAGAGCATAACTTTAACTAGCATGAATAGTTGAACATTTCTGTGTGTAAAGAAGGTATGAATGTAGTCTTTAAGATTCAAGGGCCTGTAGTTTGCATGTTCTGACAGTTGTACATGTTTGGAACATACTATTTCTTAAGCTTAGAACATTTCCTTTTGGGTTTGAACACTCCCAAAGTTTCTACCTCGACCCACATCAAAATAGTTGGGAACAGCCTCTCACCCCTGTGGGTGCATCTGGCCGTCTCCTTTCCTGGGGAGGGGCGGGGGGACTACAGAGCTTCTCCCACATTGTCCTGCCCCTCGTGCTGAGCCGCGTGTGCAGTCACTGTGGTCAACGGCATGTTACTGCTCTTCCGACAGGTAGTCAGCCTCCTTCACCAAGGGGCCCCTCTTCTCCCACTGAGAAAGCAACACCAGAGCCTCCGGTCCCAGACCCGAGCCCAGAGGCCCAGGAGCCTCAGAACCAAGATGCTGCTTCTCCTGCTTGCTCTGTGGCTGAAGAGGCCAGGAGCTCCAGCCCGGGTCTGGCAAGCCTCTGCAGCTTTGAAATCAATGAAATCTACTCAGGCTGCCTGGACCTGGGCGCTGGCTTGTCGTCCAACCAGGTAGATGAGCTGAAGTCCATGGAAGAAGAGTTGGAAAAGATGGAGAGAGAGGCATGCTGTTTCCGCGACGAGGACGAGAGCTCTTCAGAAGCCGGCACAGAGCTCTCTTTTGAGGACTGGGACTGGCAGAACAGTTCACTTAGTTTACTCGGCCTGCCTGAGCCTGCCCGAGGAGCCCGCGGCACTGTGAGCCGCAGGGCCACGACCGAGGAGTACATCAGTAAGTGTGTGCTGAACCTGAAGATTTCACAGACCATCATGCACCAGAATGACGATTTGCTGTGGAGTATCCAGCAGAAACTAGATGAGACTGAAACGATGCAGAAGGAGCTGGAGGAGCGCTGGTCTTTGTGGGCTTCCTCCAGAGAAGTTCCACGTGCCCGCGACTTCCCGGCAGCCGTGAGTCCCCCATCTTTAAACTATGTTCCTCCTGTCATGCAGCTGCCAGGGGGCAGGCAGCCGGACACTGGTGGCGGCTCCCCAGCACCAGCACGGTCTCCAAGAACAGTGAGAGACTTTCAAGGAGGACATTTTGGCAAAAGGTCCAAGAAAAGAAGCGGCTGTGGCTGGACATCTTTCACCGAATTCGCAGAAGAAAGCACTAGGGATCAGTCTGAGCAGGACCATCAGGTAAGGCTGAGAAGTGGGGGCAGGGCAGCCGGTGCAGGATCTGGAGCTGGCCTCAGCATTGCCCCCGACCTGCACCTGCGTGCAAGGCTGCCATAAACACAGTCGCCCGGGGTGGAGCCCTCTGGGCTTTGGGAAATAAGGCCTCTAGGTTGGAATTCCAACGGAGATACTCTTCACCTCCCATTCCAGACCCAGCACACAGCCCATGTCCTCTGCAAATTGTATGCATCAAGCTGACCCATGCAAAATGTCTGTTTTATAGGTCAAAGTAATCAAGTATTGACAATTTTACATAGTTCAGCTCACCAAGTGTGGTGCCTTGGGCAGGTATTAATCCCCGTTCTAAATTGCTTATTAATTAACTCATTCACTCATTTAGCAAACATTTATAGAGACAGCGGCTATTTATTAGACTATAGGATATTATGGATGAACCACAAGCTCTACTCTGAGTAGCTCAAACACAGAGAAGGACTTGGTATTCAAAGAAGATGCCTCAGAGGATGTGAGAAACCATGGGTTGAAGAGTGGTTTGTCCGTGAACTTCTTAAGGACAGATCTCACTCATTTTGTGTCCCCACACTTAGCAAGGTGCCTAGCACATAGAAGGTACTCAATAAATGGTCATTGAGGGAGTGAATAAATAAATGAATTTGAACAAGTTCACACATAGAGAGCTTCCTGCCTCTTGAGTCAGGATTTTAGAGGTGGATTGAGCCCATCCTTTGACAGAGTGTGAAGCTCAAGCTCAGAGACTTGAACTTCCCGAGACCCGTTGGTGTGACCGAGACCACGGTGGAGTAGGATTCCAAAGTTTTTCTCTTTGGAGAAAGGCAAAGGCTTCAATTTATTTTGCTTCTACTATTTACAACTATTGTAGGCTTTATTTGATTGCACCCCCACTGGTAGATTTAGGCAGATATTGTTGTCCCTGTTTTGTGGATGAAGAAACTGAAACACAATAAGGATTAGACTAGAACCCAGGGCCTGGGGCTCCTGCCACCAAGCCTGTTGCCTTACTATAGGGGAAAGATTTTGGGTTTTTTTTTTAATGGAGGTACTGGAGATAGAACCCAGGACCTTGTGCATGTTAAGCGCCCGCTCCACCGCTGAGCTCGTAGCCTCCTTCCCACCCCAGATTTTTGATGTCTGTTTTGTTTGCTTATTCTCTCTTGCACCCCATCTGGACTGGGGGCCAACATTTCTACGTAAGGGCCTCCAGCTAAGCGATGAGTTACTAGATAATGAAACATGCAAACAGAAACTGTCTTGGGAGGTCTGGTTAGTTCTACATATTTACAAGATTGCTTTAAAAATAGAATGTGAGAGTGAAGAGAAGAGGAGAGGAATTCCTTCATCAAAGCACTGAAACATGTCTGCTGCTTTTTAAGCTGCCAGCTCTTCGTGACCCTGGAAAACAGAGCACAGGCGAACAGTTTCAGCCCACTCATGGAGCCAAGGACAGTTCGGAAAGAAAGAGGAACCAACATGCCAGCAGGTCGGTTAACATTTTTATTGTTCTTTGTGTCACCATGTCTTCAGATTCCCGTGTCACCCGGAGGCCACTTACTGATCTTCATGTGTCTGTTGACAAAGAGATTGTGAGGGTGAGGGAATAGTAACACAGAAGCAGATCTTGGCAGGTTCTCTCCATTAAGTGAGCGGGAAGAGGAGCATAAAATCGCAGGAGACATCAAAGGTGAAGTGTTTGGCAGGTTAACCAGACAGAACTCATTAGTTGTCAGAGGCAAAGCATCCTACCTTTAACTGCCCAGATTGTTTTTCTTATAAAAAGAAGCACCAGCTTCCACTTGCCAGTGCTCCAGAAACCAGCTGTGTGAAAACCTGGGTTGTTCAAAATAAGCATGGCTGGCTCTGGGGGGATCTGCTGTGGTTTCAGCTGGATCCGCTGTGGTTTCAGCACAGATCCCTGGAAGGAA